AATTAGTGAGGCCCTCAGCCAGAGAGACTGTGTCTCAAAATTAATAAAAATAAAAAATGACTGGGGATGTGGCTCAGTGATAAAGTGTCCCTGAGTTAAACCCCTAGTACCGAACAACTACAACAACAAACAAATAGGAGTGCAGATCTCAGGTGGAAAGACTCACTTTAATAGGATGATAGAGAACAAATGCAGTTATAGGAAGGATTGCAGATTTCGTGGCAGGATGTTGAGGAAGTTCCCAATCTCACTATATATATATATTTTTTAAAAAAAGAATCATTAGCTGAAGAAGAAAAAAGATAAAAAATTGTAATCTTGGGAAGTGAAAAAGTAAGTTTCTAGAAAACTGAATAACCAATTTGAGATTTCTGATTAAGAATTTAAAAGAAGCCTGTCAACCTGAAAGTTAGTTCTTTGCAGTCAGTAAAGAGGTGAACACTGAAAATTGTCTAGAGATAGCAAACACAGTAATTATAGTTTATTTTCCTAAATAATCACTTGAAGTATACAGGTATAATATAATCCATGACAATGAGAAACATACAACTAACAAAATTTGGAAAGTAGAAGGGGCAAAGAAGAGATTAGACATTTCAAAGCTTCATCTTATTGAGAATGAAGAGCTAAAGTATACTTTTTAAGGTTGAAAATCCAAGAAATAGAAGTGGAACATGTATTAAAACTTAAATATAGTATATAAATATACAATAATATATTATGGTAATTATGATATTAATTAACATTCACACACACACATAAGCTCTAGAGTACAATTTCCAGCCTATTTTTAATTAACCTGTGTTTTGTTGGGCATGCATGAGGCCCTGGGTTCAATTCCCAACACCATACACACACAMAAAAAATGTTAATGCACTATGTCAAAAATTTCATTGAAATAGTTGCAGAATTGAAAACTTGGGATCTAATGGGTTAARGTACTGAAATTACATATTTAAATTACAAACTTTACCATGAGATAATTAAAATACTGGGAGGAAATAGTTTAAGTTATCGAAATGTTTATCTACCATAAGATAAGTGAATACAATGTTGAAAGTTGAATTAAAAAAAAAACAATTAATGGGGCTGGGGACATAGCCCAGTTTGTAGAGTGCTTGCCTTGCTAGCACAAGGCCTTGGATTCAGTCCCCAGCAGCACACACACAAACACACACACACACACACACACACACACACACACAGAAAAAACAACATAAAAAAGCCACACATACAATTAGTGGAGAGATTTTATTTATTTATTAATTTTTTTTTTAGAGAGAGTGAGAGAGGGGAG